TAAGAGTGTCCCACAAGAGTTTCCTACAAGAGTGACCCACAAAAGTGTCCCACAAGAGTGTCCTACAAGAGTGTCATTTGGACATATGTAGCTTTTCGACCGCGTTTGCATTCTGGTTCGTGGGCTCCAGTTTGTTTTCTAATTTAAACGTGTTCCACCCACCCTTTTTGATCCTTTTTGTGTTTTTTGTTAACACCAATCACAGAAGACTGACAGCTGGAAAGTCCAAAAGACCTGTTGGTTGGCCGATGAGGGCTTTCTTTTGGGGTTGGCAGTCACCAAATGATGGTGTTCCATAGCTGGTCACCACTTCCGATCTGGCGTTTCCAGGTGAGGAAGGTCGGCAACTCTGGTCGCTCCTAGGCCGGGCCAGGGTTGGACCGAGTGGCAGACGGAGAGTCGCTGGCAGATCGACCTCACTGAGAAAATCTCACCAGGTCGGCACCACCTGTCGTGGGGGAACCTCCCTGCAGCCAAAGATGCTTTCGAGAATGCTCGAAGCTGCGTGGGAGAGGCACCGGGGGGGGCGGGGTTGGCTGTGTGTGTTTTTTGTTGGAGGGTTCGGAGGGTCTGAACAAAACGATGCTGCATGTCGACCTAAATTCCTGAGCTTTCCACAGATTCAAACCATCTTGCGTTTGTGGTGATGCCCAGGAGTCCACCCTCCTGTTGAACCAGGGGCTGCTTGCAATGGCATCCAGCGACTACTCCGCGGCCAGGCCGGGCACTTCTCCATACTCTTTTGCGTGCCGTGTCAAACAACATCTGTAAGTGATTTGGGGGGGTCTCCTCTTTTCATTGTAGATATAACAGTATAGATATTGTACAGTCTCAGCAGGTAGATTTTCTGAAAGGGAGGAGTGTGACAGCCTACAAGTTTCACTTCTTTTGGCCATTTGTCAAGAGGGAGCTCCCTTTCTGGAGCACTTTGAGAATCCTATGACTAGAGAGGCATCAGAACTGGGTGCACTCGCCTAAAGCTTTGGCTTGCTGTGTCCAACTCCATCTCATCGGGGCCAGGAACGCGTTTGAGGCGGCGGCTGTGGCCACAGCTGCCCTGGAGGAAGAGGCCACCCGTGACCAGATCTGAACGCCGCCCGGTCAAATGATGTCGAGAGCCACGTGGCGTGTCGTTGACGCGGGAGGTCCTGGCTGCCGAGAACAACCTGGCGGTGTGCAAATTTTACACCAAGGACCTTTCAATGTGTCAGGCTTAGATTTGCTTCAATTCTGGGGTGGACTTTCGGCGTGGTTGTGACTCAAGGCGAGCCAACCCTTTAGATCAACTTTGAGAGTGATCCTCTTAGATCCACTGTCAGACGCATGTCCACCCTGACCACACTAAGAAGAAGATCCTTTCCCTAAATATCCCCCAGATGCGGATCTTGAAACAACAACATAGCACTCCATTCTTGGGATGAGGACCCATCTGACAGACCCAGCATCTGACAGACCAGGACCTCCGTGGCGCCTGTGAGCGCCTGGAGGCGGTTCCGGGCAGGATTGGGACACGTGGGCGGCTCGGGCATGTTGCTCAGACCTGTTTCTTTTGGATGTCTTGAGTTGCAGGAAGCTGTTTTGCTTGGCAAATGACAACACATGGTACCTGAAGACTGAGAAGTTCTCAAAATCACTACTTGTGGGTGCAGCTCATGCCGATTGCTCTGCCTTCTGTAGGTATTGTGGGACCACAACTGGTATCTCAAGCAAACTGTTTCATCCTGAACAATTGCACGTGCTGGTGCGTTGGCCATGATGAACCCTTGGCCCTTGGCAACACGCTCCCACAGTACACAGCGTCGGAAGCTCAATCCAGCGCAACCATGTGCCCGTCACGCCAACGGCAATGGGGATTGCCATCCAAAAGCAACACGTTCAGGGTGTTCTTCCCCTCCCCAGAGGCGCAAGTCGCAAGTCCCTGACACCGGAGAAGGCTTGCTAAACACATTGGGGCCGCCGGAGGCTCTGGTGAAGAAGGAACCCGTGCGGTTTCTGAAGCCGTCGATTCTGCACAACTTGGCCTCATTCTACGAGTTCTCCCAGGCGCGGAAATGAACCTCTGAGGTGTGATGTTGTGGGCCACTGACGACGTTTTTCACGCGATGGTGGCAGATGGTGGGAAGATCGCCACCCTGTTGTGGCGATGATTGCTGATCTTTGTGATCCTTTGGTCCCAAAACCCGGTACCCCTGGCAAAGCCATAGAGTCATCCAGGCAACCGTCCGATGCTCCTAAGCCGTGGCGCTATGCGACTCGGGTCGACTGGGGCCAAATCGTGTCGACGTGGCCAGGATGCCAGTGGCAAGCGCCGACAGCTTCACATGTTTGCGGCCACCACCCAGCTCCTTTGCTTTGAGAGATTTAGCTGTCGGTATTCCTTTGTGATTTGTTTTCCTTTGGCCATTGATGCTGGCAAACATGAAGACACGGCACGTAAGCAAGAGAAGCATTTCTATCCGGAGCTTGTTGGGCTCGTTGGTTTCGGAGTGAATGCTTTTTGGATGGACTTGGCTGTCTGAAATCCTCTGAAACCATCGTAGAACTAGGAAGCCACAACAATGAATCTAGAACACCTCCCAACCAACGGGTTTTGTTTTTTCTTCCAAGGGGTCGAGCCGGAGGTGGGGGGTCTCCCTATTCAAATTCACACCTCAATAAATGCTTTAGACAAGCATTTCCGAGCGGACTGGTTATCTTCCTTGATTCGATTGCAATCCAAGTGGTGGGGAGTGCCAGCCAGAAACGGATCCAATTTCCGAGATGGTTTAGGCGTGGCACATGAGGATTTAATATTGGCCACGTTTAAATCGCAGAGAGACAATCCTTTAGGAAAACTGTTGAGAGTAGTTAGTCCTGCAACATCCTTTAACAACTGTCTTGGAACAATTCCTGATGTGAAGATTGCTAGGCAACATTTCTACCAGTCTCATCTACTCAGGTTGGAGGATCTTGACCCACAGCTCTTTCAAGCACCACACATGTGAAAAGAATTGCGCTGAGACGGCGGAAGCGGTGACAGCAACTCGAGAAGTTGGATGTTGGAAGTACCGTACGCGTGAATTGGCCAATTCACGAGCACCATCACGGGCACATTGCTTTGTGCTCATTTGCTTCCAAGAGCTTTCTGAAACCTCGATTTGCGTTTGTGGACAGTTGAGTCAGTAGAGCTTTTAAAGGAGAAATCCGGTTTTAGAAAGTTTTAGACGTAGATCCAGCCAATTCACTGTTGCAGTCCTTGCTTTCAATCAGCGCCAGTTGCTCAGAGTGCCAGACTTGGAGCTCCAATCGACCACATGAGACAGCAACATCCAGACAGCAAGATCATGATGAATTCAGGATTCTTGAGAGCAAAGATCTGAGTGGTCCCCAATTCCTGCCACCTTTGAACCATCGTATTCTTCAGCTGATGGAGCTTCCGTGGCTCCGCTCTGGACTTGACCTCGCCGGCCCGAGCCGCCCGGCACCCTCCGCGTCCAGTGCGGCTCCGCGCCCGGCACCGCCGACGCGCGTCGGGCGCGGGCGGAGTGTGGCCGCTGTGTGGAGCGTGGCGGGGCTGGTCCGGTGGCGCCGGGCAGGACGGCGAACGTGGAGGAAAGCAACACCTAGTGAAGAAGAGGAAGAAAGGTGCTCAGATGGGGGCAGCTCAGTGGATGATGACAGCTTCCTGAGAGATTTACAGAAACTTGGACTTGACTGTCGTTCTGCTTTCATTTCTGATTGACAGCTTCTTTACGCCTTTTGTTTTGTTCCCGCCAGTTCATCCAGGAAAAGAGTTGCGGAGGTCAGTGCCCAGGAGCGTGCCAGACGTGAGCGAATAGATGACCACTGGCGCGATGGAAACGCCAAAGCGCAACCCGCAGCCATCATTCAAAACGACTGGGTGCGTCGAGTGGCTTTGGCTGGAGATGAAGTCTTTGTTGGGACCTCCTCCACAGGCGCTGTTCCGCCCGCTGGGCGCGGACCCTTTATACAAGGGCATTACTACTAGGAGCAAGAAGCTACGAGTAACAAAGTGCATCGCTACTAGGAGCAAGGACGCTACTAGTAGCTCCTGGCCTTACTACTAGAGGCTGTTGACATTGTTTTGGGTCCCCGCAAGGAATCTCAGCATGAACAAGGCCCAACCAGACACCCAAACACCCCATTCGTGAACAGTATGAAAGCATAAAGTCCATTGGCCTGATTTGCTTTGATCTTGGGCTAACAAGCCATTTTCATCTATGTTCCTCTTCAGGCAAATTCTTTTTCGGCCTCCCTTTTTCGGCCCAAAAACCGCGTGCACCGCGCGGTGCCTTTTTTCAGGTGTCCGGAGGCACAGCTTTGGCTCCGTTGAGCCCAAGCAGGTCTATGGCGTGCACGGGAACCCGCAGAGGATGGTGACTGCCGATCATCCGGCAAAGGTGGATTTCCGAATGAAAAGGTGGATTTGAAAGGTTTTAACGGGTGACTTCCGAATGAACTTCTTGGTGGAATGGATGGGAATTGAGTGTGGGTGTAGTCACGAACTTATTTCTTTCGATGTTTCTTGACAAACCCACACACACAATCACACACACACACACATATCGGGATTTGACATTCAGAACACTGGGCAGAAATCACATTGCGCCAACAACAATCATTGCGCAACATTGCAATGATTTGTTTCAACTAAACAGTGGGATGATTGCCTCTTGTCCGCTCCAGTTCTGAGAGGTTGTTCACTGTGCAGGACTTTACGCAGCTGTGACAGTGCGTAAAGGATTTTCCAAGTCCTTTCTCCACTGTCACAGACTAGCAAGGTGATAACTTGACTGCGGTTGGATTGAGTTGTGACTCTACTCTCAACCCCCTTCAGCATTGTTTGTTGCACAGATGCTGCAAATGACCCTGGAGTAGCTGTAGCAACGCACAAGCTTGTGTGGATCATGCTGCAAGATGCCAGTCACTAGTTTGTCGAAAATTATTTACAGTACAATCACGTGCCTAGTAGTAAGGCCAGGAGCCCCTAGTAGCATCCTTGCCCCTAGTAGCGATGCCAGGAGCCCCTAGTAGCATCCTTGCCCCCAGGAGCCCCTAGTAGCGTCCTTGCCCCTAGTAGCGATGCCAGGAGCCCCTAGTAGCGTCCTTGCTCCTAGTAACGATGCCCTTTGTCCCAATCACGTGTTAACTAGACATTGACATGTTCTTTAGGGCCATGCTCGATGATGAGGTCGCGAAGATCCGCAAAAGATGTGTTGTTTCGCGATTCATGGCTGTTCCATCATGAAAGAATACGGATCAACCACCAATATAATGCATATCTATAATCTCTCTCTCTCTATATATACACAGTATATACAATATGTACATATTTACACAGGGTATATTATTTTCTTCTCCGGAGGCTTTTGGACCAAGTCGTCCAAGAGTCCTCTCCGCCAGGTGGACCCTGAGACCTCCGTAACATCGCTGACCTGGACCGGCCAACACCTTTGTGCAGGTAGGGTTGACAAACTCCGTCTTAGTCATGAAAAATCATCATCATACTGCCAAAAAGTGGATCTGATTTTGAGAGGTTTCACGAGTCCACAGGGTTTTGTAGACATGACTCGCCCTTCTTGTGTTGTGTAGATGAGGCTCCGACTTCCCAGTGTGATCTCTGCTCTCATTTCATCATATCTCGTCTCTGATCGACACAGGTCTGGCTGGTGGCCGTCTTCAAGTTTGGAATGAAGAAGGTTGGTTGATCTTAGACCATGAGGTAAACAGTCGGCCCTGCTATGTCTGTGTCTATGACAGCTCGATTTTGGTGGCCGCCGCCGGGGACTCCATCATGGCTTGGGACTTGAACGACTTGGGCGATGCAGCGCCACGGTGTCGGATCACCATGAGCTGCAGGGTTCATTGCTTGAATCTGGCCTTTGAAGGTTCGGTGGCCTTGGGGCTTGCAGATGGCCACTCAGCCTTTTTTGCGATGGGTTTTGGGAGTGCTGTATATCATTGAAAACCCGAAGTAGTACTGAGACAGTAAAACAGTGACAGCGGAGTGAAACATGTTTAATAATCGGATTATTTTGACCTTTTTATGTAACACAAATCAAAGGGCAGGTGTTTTGTATGTTTCAGCAGACAAGCTGGTTCTGGGAATGTCTGACAGTTCCCATTTCTCTCAGACGGGACCAGGCTCGTTGGAGCTGCGTTCCTTGCCGGACCTGTCGCTCCTCTCGCGCCGGATTTTGGGGCCGGTGCCGGTCTCCGCCGTCTACGTGGACGAGCGAGGCATTGTGAGTGGGGATGACGCAGGACAGGTCGTGTGTTGGGACGCAGATGCCCAGATGCCGGGAGAGGAGTGGCAGATCAAATGGAGGGGACAGCACCAGGGGCGCATCGTGGCCCTCAACCGTGGTGGTGGAGATTCCATCATCTCCGCCGGCTTGGATGGCCACATTATGGCTCGCAAGGCCGAGACTGGTGAACACATGTTCAGTATTCCCAACCACAAAGTGTGGCTCGGTTCGATGTGTGTGTCCGAGGAGCTGGACTTGTTGGTGACCGATGGTCGGGACAACGCCGTGTATCTCTACGATTTCGGAAATCCGTAGAGACATGGGCTAAAGGCTCAGCAAAGGCAGGCTCTGGCGGCAGAAAAGTGTGGTCGATCACTGGCGTTCAGAGCTGGGTTCTGATGATAAACCCAAACTCAACTGTATTTTTTACGACGTCTTCTTAAAGTGCACCCATTGAATATAGACTTTGAAGGGTCGTGTATGGTGTAGGTTCCCAAACATGCCTGTTCACTGAGCAGCCTTGAAGAGCGGAACTAAAGATGGAAAGCACCTATGGATCCATGCATCCATGGCCAATAGATCTTACTTTTTGCCGCACAAATCTCCAACGCAGCTTAGACATGAGCCGCAAATGAAGCTTAGAACTGCAGCTCCATGACTCAAAGAGAGGCGCCGGCGGGCTTTCAGCTTTTTGTGCTTCCTTGGGATTGGAGATGCAGTCTTCAGAAAAAGAATGAATCAGCATCCCAGATTTCTCTACTGAGACACCAAGGAGCTACGCGAAAACAAAAAGAGGGCATGAATCTCATGACTCATGCGAGTATTCCTGGACAACCAGGGCATGTTCTCACTGAAGCCTCCTGAAGCCTGAAGCCACTTTCTATACCTGCAGAAAAGGTCGCAAGGACTAGCAGAGCCAAACAAAAACTGCCAGAGTTTACAGAAACAGGAACACGCCATCGATGCTTCACAGCCAACGTGACTGGCCAGTGCCATGTTCATTCTCTGGTTGAACTTATCATCTTAAAATCCTTTTGGGCTGGATGGGAAACACAGGAACCATGGGAACCCGGGGAAGCTTCAGGCCTCGCCTCGGCAGGTCAGATGAGCCGGTGAACGACCCATGGGGTGCCGCACGGATGCGCGCCAGAAGTCGTGAATTGTTTTATACAAATCAGAAGCCAATATTGCCATAGTCATTCAAGTAGAGGGCTCCTAGAATATCCAAGCTTTAAAGAACATTGCTTAGGTAGGGAGTAAACCCCAAACATGTTTGCAGTCCACTGTGCAATGCGAACTCGGCACCACACAAGACACGATAAGAGTCCTTTGTTAGATATGTTAAATGTTTGACTCAGCACGACGTGCCATGATATTAGGTAGTTATTTTCTAGTTGCGGCGTCATCCCTTTGTCATTCATCTTTTGGCACATTTACTGCCTTGCACCAGGTTCCTTCCCAGTTGGATTGAGGAGAGTCTTCCAGACCCCGATGAGGTGGGACAGAAAGATACCTGTCCTTTCATGTCTGACCGAAGAGGCATCTACCCTGCAAGAGAAAAAGCAGTGAGTCTGTACTAAGCAGCCATTATGAATCGAGGTCTTTAACACATGTTTGCATTTCTTTTGACACAAGCCAGGCTGTCAGTGCATCCCATGCCCAAATCCCGAGCCACCCACCTGATCCGATGCAAGTATCGCTCCAAGGTGGTTTTAACACATCTTAAGATGGCGCAGACGTTTTTTTGACCATGCAACTTGTTTTCTGTTTGATTAGCATTCTCTTTCACATTCGTGGGGGAAAAACACCTTCCCAGCTGGGTTGGTCACGGATTTCTCCGGCGTGATGCCATGCTCCAGGTCTTTGCCTATGACACGGTGAAGCTCGTGCGGATCTTGGACCGACGCATTGGGCTCGGAACGCCCAGAGCTGCGGGGTGAGTCTGAACTGGCCGGGACAGTCGGGACGATCGGCCCAGACAGGCCGTCGAAGGACAGGTTTGTTGCATACGGGGAACTTCTGGGTTTCACCAGTGAAGATCATGTGAACTTCTTGCAATCCTCCGGGTGTTGGTGGCCAGGTTTGTCTACTGGGGCGTTCAGGCCCTGGTGGCTTTCTACATGGTGTGGCTCCAAGCTGTGCGGCCTTTTGACTCGGGAAATGGCAGACTATCATGGAGCACAGATAGCAAAGAACACCTTCTGCACCTAACCCGAAGCGTTTTCTTTTGGGTGTAGCAATGATACTGTTCCCGAGAGTATATACTTCTACACCATTTGTGCGACACGGACTTCCCCGACCTTTCCAACGTCACAAACGATTTGCAGATCGTCATCGTCTTCATCATCAACAGGGCCTACCAAGACACCGTCGCCCTGGCTTGGACTCTTCGAGACGACCAATCGAGACTGGTCGTTTGACCGGTCGTTTGGGAATCCAAGGCACGTCGTTGTTGGACCTGTTTCTCACCACGATGGTGGAAGACCTGAACTTGGTTAGGAGAAGTTCACCGGGTCGAGCCAGGAGAAGTCCACCGGTTGGATGTTGACCAAGGTGGTGAAGTTGGGGAAGCCTAGTGGGAGACCGGGCTCAGAGGGCGGTAGGTTCACATCTTCCAGCGGAGACACCTGGTTTCAGTCATTCTTTATGTGCAAAGAGTTTCCCTACAAGCTGGGGTGACAGGGATTCGCCAATATTGTTGACACACAGCCACCTTTACATGGTACTGTAAATAGATTGACAGTCAGCATGGTTTCAGTCAACGGGACAGTCGTTCTTCTCGTTTGCAGCGTAAAGGGAATATTCCCCAGTTGGGAAAGGACCCAGTCGAAGTTAATATGTGATGACTCTATAAAGTGACAAAGATTGCCACGGGCATTATAAGCATCATGTCCTTTTCCGTTCTTGCAACTGCAGTTGAACCGTAGATCCCTTTGCACCCTTGCGACGTTCCAACGTGAACTTTTCGGAAAAGCCTATCAATGCAGGGGGTGAAAAAAGCACAACGGACAAAACCTCCAGACTGAACCAACCTCCAGACTCTTGGCTGGTTTGACCAAATGAGAGTTGCCACAAACAGTCTGATTGGGAGATCAAGCAGCTCATTTGGGGAAGGATATTCTGATAAGCTTCAAGATGCCTACCTGGCCTCCGGTGAGGCCCCAGATGTCACATCTGGGAATCTCTTGGGATGCCTACGATCGCATTACAAATCCAGGCGGGATAGACGACTCTCCCAGACTTCGTGGTGCTCCTCAGATCTTCATCTCTTATCACTCCAGAGCATGTCAGGTACCTTTTTAAGGTCCATTTTGGCATCCAGCTACTAGTAGCTTCTTGTTACTAGTAGTAAGGCCAGGAGCCCCAGCGTCCTTGCTCCTAGTAGCGATGCCCTTTGTTCCTAGTAGGTCTCAGTTCTTCGTTCTTCCAGTTCCAATGATCCCATTCGACACCTATCACGCCGTGCCGCATGGGATGTTCCGGACATCACAATCCATTCATCGCTCGAGGTGAATCTGGGGCGGTCTTCATCCCTACCCGCGTGCTCGTGACAAGAGGTCAGACACAGGTGCGCCTGGGGCAGTTCCGCAGCATTGCATGGACACCCCAAATGATGTAACATGTTTCATGGTCTTTTTGATCAATTGTTTTACTTACCCCTGATATTTTATCCTGCCCTTTCATCACGCTTTCTGTGGCGAGGAGGATGAGTACTGTGAGTCCCCCTCGCATCCCTGCAAAGTGGACACCTCAGCAAATGAGCTCAAGCAGTGCTGCACTGCTTGTGCTTCAGGATGATGCTGCGTCTCATTTAGTTGTTGCATGTTGTTGCTTTCTTTTGACATGGCCAACATGACCAATGGGCATGACTTGTAGATGCAGCGGACCAAGATGATTCAGCATGAACATTCTGGGTGTCCAGGAAAACCCCTCCGCAGACAGCCACACCGCAAGCGACAAGCGGACGGGCGACTCGTTTTGATGCGGACCAAGGAGGCCAGGGATTGCAATGTGGGAGATCCGAGGATTCAAAAGATGGCCTGGCACTCAAACGGCCAACGAGTTCGCCGGGCAAGATGTTGGACGAGTCGGGCCATTTCCAGTGATGACCACCGTGAGCTTTGAGTGCTCGTAATGAGCAAAGAGTTTTTCTCCAAATCAAATCTTTGAGGCCACATGAGGCCATCGCTACCAGTAGCTCCTGGTAACAAAAAGCTACTAGTAACAAGGTGCATCGCTACTAGGAACAAGAAGCTACTAGTAACTAGGAGCTACTGGTAGGTCTGCCTCACTTCTCCCTTCCCCGTCCCTTCTCCCTTCTCGACATTCCCCTCACCGAGGAATGTAGTGTCAATGGCTTTTGCATGCGGCGGCAGTGGTGCCCAGCCGAGAACGCCCAATGGGCGACCACCGAGGCGTTCCGAGGGCCTAAAGGGTGGGGCTTCGGAAGGGCGTTCGGCCCAAACAAGTCCCAGAATTGGTTTACAGATATTGACAGTAAGGGAACATGTACAGGAAACCATGGTTTTCATCCCCAAACGTATTGGTTTCCTGTGGATTTTCCCTTCAATTCTGAGAATTTAAGCAGTTTTTAAATCAAAGGTCAACTAGTAACTAGCCGAACTAGCCCTTTCAGAGCCAGTCTGCAGGCTGTGTACTGTAGGACTTGGACTTTATCATTTTTGATCAAGCCCATCTCACAGACATGTTTGGCCACACTGCGCAGACGCATTACCTGGACTTCGACAAGGTAGAGCTTTGGTTCAAGTCTTACGTCCATTATCACAAGCGCGGAGGCCGAGGGAAACGTGTCGCGTGTTGTCCGTGTGGCTTTTTGCCGAGCATCTCCGTCGGAGCGGAAACTCCGAGGTTTGGACTTGATGTGTCCACTGCAGATGAGAAGCAATCCATTCCTTATCCTCAAAGGCCCGATTTGGACAACTTTCCAAGTCATGGTCTCAATGGTCTAAATCCTAGCGTTAAGTTCGCAGTTCGCAAGGACCATGCGCGGTTTCCAACCCTGTCAGATGTATAGGCTTTTCTATTCAAATGCCATGGCGGTTGTGCTGTGTCGGCAGTGTTATGCTGAAAAAGAATAGCCAAGTGGCCAAAAGACGGACTCAGAAGCAGATTCCCGGTAGCCTCATTCTGATTCGGGGTAGCCTCATCTCTGTTCCTTTGAACAAGGCATAAGTCCAAACAGGACCAGACGTTACAACGTTGCAGCTGATGGTTCGCTACTGTGTCACAGGGGCGCCAATACCTATCGCCTACAAGACCTCATTCGCATGACAAACTATGCGCCTGAGGCCAGT